TAATTTGTTTTCATTCAAGCATTTATTACAGACTTGCTATTCTTGTATATCTTATATCCTTCTATATTTGGGGATTTTCCAGTGTATGAGGCAGATCCTGTGTCCCATTTTACAAGTAGAAACTCTTGGGACAAGGAACAAACATATTAGCTTAGGCAACACTAGACTGATGCAATGGACACGGGCTTTGGAAGCTTATGAAGCAAAACAACAAAACACAGCCAGTGTGTTCCAAAAGCACTGGTACGGTAGTAGCCCAAGACTCAGTTTCCAGACATGGAAGCAATAGCAGTTCTAGAGACAGTGCTGGGTGCCTGGTTTAGGGAATAAAAGTTTAGCAAATAATAGTGATTTTGCCCCATGATTCTGGTGGCAGTTAGAGAACAACAAAATGCTGGTGTAAATGGGGCCAGAGATCATAGTGAAAACTGTGTGTGCTCATATACAGCACACAGGACCTTAGAACTGTGGAAACTGCCCTACTTTAGTAACGGAAAGGACCTGAAACAACTTAGCATGGGGAGACAATGACACAGGATAAAAAGGGCTTCCCTGTTTTAAATATACTTCTCTGCTTAGCTCTGTTCTGTTCATGTACTAATGAATATTCCTCAAATAGCATGATCAGGAAACTCTTATTTCCTCTTTTTATTGATAATTTCAGTTGGACGTAGAACAGATAATGGTTTCCTCAAAGTGCGAGAGATCTGTTATTAGGCTTGGATCTAATTCTACTCTCTTCGTTAGGGAAGCCTGGAGGCCACAGTTCTGAAACCCAATGTTCTACCCTTGCTCTCACACACAGGGTAATTCAATTCCTCTGTTTCTTCCCTCAGATATCCTCTACATTTTGATAACTGTGCTTCTCATAAATACTCTTTCCTTCCTGAATCAAAGCAACATGGAAAACTCTTCAGGAGGAAAGACAAGCAAGAAAAAAATGATACAGTTTGCAGATGGTTGAGTGTGCTTAGAATTCATAGATTTCTTCATAGAATGTGCTTTAATAGCCATAAAGGAAGGTATTAGGGATTAACAGTTTTCATGGTATCTTAATGAATTTAAATAAAAACATAGAAATGAATGTTGCCATCTATTACCACATATTCAAAGAGTATGGACTTATTAAATAAACCTAGTATAACTATCACAACCTGAGAAT